CCCTCTGAGGCACCTTCAAATGGAAAGTTCTTTGAAATTTAAGTTACGTCTTTTCTTCTCCCCCCCCCACCCTAAGTTTTGGGGGTGGGGGGAAGGGGAGACCCTGGAAAGAATCTTCTATCAAGGAATAAGTCCCTTTCTTTCTAGCATACCTGTATTCTGTCAATAGATCACCCTGTGCATTCTGGTTTTTGGTACATAGGTAGACTGCAATTACTACAGTGATATATGAGCTTTGCAAAGTGCAGTTTGTCTTCTGTTTCATATTAATCTGGACATACGAATTTACAAAATTTAATGCTGTAATTACGATCTAACACTGGAACAAGTGACATGAGAACTTAGGCAGCAATCTCTTACCACTTTTTTCATTGTATTTTTTTACCTTATGGGCTTTGTGTGAATTCTTTGCCATGTTTCAATCCTTATTACAGTAAAAGAACAAATTATTCAAAGCATGGCTTTCTTATTAAATTAAACCGTTTTTTCACCCTTTTGTCAATAAAAGCATGTGAGCATATCTTGAGAAAATACCAGTGTAAAAACCCAAACTTTCCCTGAAAATGTCTAACCTTCATAGCTATTTGAAGTCACTTACCTCCTAGGGCTCCCTAATCTGACCTCCTTGGCATCAAAGATCTACAGTAAATGATCGTTGGATGATCTACCTCTGTTTAATACAGACGACGACGGTCTATCTTTGTTTAATACGGAAGCTAGGCACAGCAAGTGTCTGCACTGGTTTTATTTCTATTAAATATGCCTAATTCCCCATGGAAGAACTTTCCATTCCACGTTGTAAGTTATTTAATGACTTATTTATGTCATTGAACAAAATCATCATGCGTTCCTTTGTTGTTTACAATTATTTTTAAGAACTGTTTTAACCATAGATGCTAGCATTATGCCGAGTGCTTGTTCCATGCACTGTTTCATTGATGGCTCATGATCATCTGGTGTATATATATGTGTATATAACTATTATACCTATTTTACAGATGAGAGCATAAAGGTTACTAAGCAGTTTAATGAAGATCAATCATACAACAGACTCTGTAGCCAGAATGTTAACCCGACAGAGTCTGGTTCCCAGTGTGGTGCCTTCTTACTCACCATGCTGTATTGCCCTTTAAGCTGGAATCAGTACTCAATCGAATGGCACCCTATTTGCTTCTCCATTAGGAGAGAGATGCTCGGGCTGAGGATAGGTGGTTCTTTCCTAAGGCATTCGATTGTGTTGTTGTCTAGCTGACTTGACTCCCTACCAGCTAACCAGGGAAGTGCATACATTTGAGTTCTGGTAATCAGCATTAAAAAAAAATATCTTCATGAGGCGAGGCGGTGCATTACTTATGGACTTCTGAGAGTTAACTGGAAAGCCGAGGGGGGACAAGACTCCATGACCTCAACCCCAGCCCGTTACTGTGGTTAGGTTCTGTCAGCATGTTGCTGTCAACACATGGGACAAGCCTGTGCAGATGATTGCGAACACTGGCTGTGAAGACAAAAGACATCTTCCATGATCGTAATGATCGCCTACACTTCCTCTTTGCTTATTTGCTGTAAAGTTCACAATTACTGACTGATCTTAACAGGTCTGTCTGTTTTTATTGCTTATTACTGTCGTCAAGTGTGTGGGGCCATGTTCTGCTGCTTACTGCTATAGATGCTACTTTACAGTGACACTTAACTACTTTGACCTTGTCCGGCCTTTCTATTTGCAGAACTGGAATGGTAAGTCCTCCAGGGTTTTCTGGTTTCAATGCTCTCTAGATGGCATGAATTCTGTGGGCCATAACTTGGCGGCACACAACCTTGAAGTGGTGCAACCTAGAGAAGTGGTCTTACTTTATTCCCACTAGAGCTGACTGAATGAGGGTTAGGAACTTCTTTTTGGTCTGCTGTCCTTTGGGGCTGAGAGTCTTCAGGACAAGAAAGTTTACAGCCCCTCCTCCTCATCTCTCTTGTCATTACTTTGCACTGAAGGGCAAGGATTGCAAGGCCTTATGCAATTGAGTGGGACCATATTCATGCTCTGTGCACCAAGACTTGGGACCATTGTGAAATGTAGAAAGATGGCTGGTGTGCTCTTGTAAATTTTTTGTTGAAATCCATAGAGACTCTGTGATTACAGGCAACTGTTGGTAGCCTTTTAGACGTACCGTACTTGCTGCGCTGTTCTGGTGAGTCACACCTATTATCAAAGCTTCAGTAACCATTAACTATGAAATGGAACTAAGGGCAAGGTGACAGCAGTTTTCAGAAGACCAAAATCCAAGTCAAACTCATTGTCACTGAGTCAATTCTGACTCACCTGAGGGACAAGGTCGAACTGCCCCATAAGGTTTACAGAAACACACTGCCACATCTTTCTTGTGGAGTGGCTGGCAGGTTTGAGTGGCCCATTTTGGGGTTAGCAGCTATGCACTTTAACTACTCTTTTTTTTTTTCCCCAGAAGGAGGTGTAAAAATTAGAACAATGCAATTAATATTTGTTGAG